AAATTTTTTTGTTGCTTTCTGGTTCAATAATAGTTTTATATTGGTTCACTGTGCATATGCATAGATAAGATTTCATATCTGGACAATTAGCTTTAATCAAAAATAGATTGTTTTGGGGCTGAGTGAATCTAGCAGTTGGGAGATTCCAACAGCTAGGTAAGTGAAAAAATAGCCTGGATATGCATGTAGCTAAATTACTAATTTGGTAATCGGTAGAAGCTGCTAGCAAAATGAATATCAATCAGTGCAAGTAACAATACTTTTATACTGCTGGCCTGCTACATAAACTATGTTCTATTTCATTCAGAAGTGGAGATATAATCTAAATACTGTATCCCTGAATTATCTTACAGAGAGGTCACTATTACAGTTATTATGCAGTAGTTTGGAAATCTGTGAGTAGGATGTTAATATTTGACCTGCTATTTCCCTTGTCTATATAATCTGGTTTGGGGATATTTTTATTTTTAGACATTTCTATCCAGAGTGGTTCCATGCTATATAAGATATGTTTTATTATAACCAAAAAAGTTCTGGCCTCTTTAAATAAAGGCATTTCTTTCTTTATTAAAATAGAAAGAATCTTACTTTGAGTTTGAAATGTAGTTCGGTTATATTGTTATTTTTCTGTAGTTACAATCAGCATTAAAAAAACTGATATATATTTTTTGAAAAACATTTTTTCAGAATGAAAACAGTGGTTCTTCTGTCCATGAAATAAATGAAGAAACAGAATTAAGGCGTAAAAAAATTGAAGCACTAAAGGTAATAGTGAAAAATAAAGGAGAAAAATAGCTAAGTTGAAATGATAGGATGCAGTTATCATATGGATTTTACAAGTAGGACCAACAAGTGCATGTTAATTCCAAAAAAAACAATGGCCAGAGCCCTTAGATTATTAGTAAAGTACAGGTAGTTCTCAACTTATGACTGTAATTGAGCCTGGAATTATCATCATAAGTAATGATGGTCATTAAGTGGATTGCTATGTGACCATGACAAATTTCAAGAGAACTTCAGATTACGTACAAGAAGGGCTTCTGGCAAGGGATGGGCTCCACCTCACAAGAACTAGGAAGAATGTACTTGGAAAATAACTGGCCCTGCTTTTCTAAAGGGCTTTGAACTAAAACAGAGGGTGGAGGGTGACAAAACTTTAGGACCTAATCCCAAGCATAAATCCCAAAACAACTAATCAAACAAGGTAGAAGTAATGGGAAGGAAGAAAAATTCAGATGCAAACTAGGAGATGTAGGAAGTATACCCCGGTTCAGCCATAAAGGACTCATGATTATAACCAACACTCAAAGTTTGGGGAACAAACAGGGTGAACTTGAAGGATTAGTACACAAGGGCAAGTATGATATAGTTGCCATTACGAAACTTGATGGGATGAAACTCATGACTGGAATGTACTGGTGGAAGGATATAAATTATTAGATCTATAAACAGACCTAACAAAACAGGAGGTGGAATTGCATTATACGTAAGAGATTGCTACATTTCTACAGAAATGCATAAAACCAAGGATGAAAGTCTCCTAGAATGCATATGAGTTAATATAAAAGAAAAAAAGAATGACATTGCTGTAAGTGTATACTACAGGTCAGCCAACCAAGCAGAAGAAATAGATAAACTTTTTGCTAATCAGTTAACAAATGTATATAGGAAACACACCACAGTAGTAATGGCAAACTTTAGCTACCCTGACATCAACTGGGAGACAAACTCTGCATCTTGGAGATTAAACAGGATCCTGACCAACCTAATTGAGAACTTTGTCATCCAAAAGGTAGAGGAGGAAACTAGAGGGACAGCTATACTGAACCTAATTTTTACTAACAAATGATAGAGGGGGTTGAAATTGCAGGAACCTTGGGGGAGAGTGACTATGTCATATTAGAATTTAAGATAATGCAGACACAAGTAATAGAACATAATCAAACCAGTGTCTTAGACTTTAAAAGAGCTGATTTCAACAAACTTAGAGCTTCGGAAGAATACCATGGAAGAAAATCTTAAAGAGAAAAACAATTCAAGAAGCTTGGGAAACTCTGAAAAATATGATTATAAAAGCCCAGTCCAGCACAATACCAGTGAAAAAGAAAAAAATCCAAGAAGAAAGCAGCATGGTTGTACAAAGAACTCTCTGATAAACTGAACGACAAAAAGGACAAGTATAAGATAAGATAACCTTTATTGTCATTTTTTTTACTGTGGCCCACATTAAAAATGGAGTTCTATTGCCTGTTTTCAAAAGAAAGTATATATCTACATATACATACACAACATACCTATGTCCATACATATATTACATACAAGTATTAATCATTGTCCATTTTGAACACAGCAAAAAGAGGAAACTTGAGAGTGGAAAAAAGTGGAAAGAGGGACATATAACTAAGGCAGAATACTAGCATATAGCAATAGCAATATATCTCCACCTCTGGTGACCTAAAGGATGCTATGGCTGCCCTCTTGTGGTGCCTGTAGGCTGTGGGGGCCTGGATGGTGGACAACAGGCTTTGGATGAACCCTGGCAAGACCAAGTAGCTTCGGTGCATGGAGCTCCAAGATCTAGGACTTTAGTTCTGGATGGGGTTGCACTACCCCAGACAGAACCTGGGGGGTTTTCCTGGACTTTTGACTCCTATTCGAAGAGCAGGTGGCAGTTGCAGCTAGGAGAACCTTTGCACGTTTTCATTTTGTGCACCAGTTGCAGCCTTTCCTGGGTCAGAAGTCCCTGCACTCAGTTACTCGAGTCCTAGTTATCTCATGTTTGGATTGTTGCAATGAGCTCTATATGGGGCTACCCTTAAAGAGCATTGAGAAGATATAGCTGGTACAGAGTGCAGCAGTGCAGGCAGTTTTAGGGCCCCTATAGTGGCCCATGTTACACCACTGCTTCGCAAGCTGCACTGGTTGCCAGTCTGCTTCCAAGTACAATTCAAGATATTGTACAGGACCTTTACAATCCTGTATGGCATGGCTACTTGAAGAACTGTCTCACCCCAATGGGACTGGCCCACACCGGCAGAAGGGTCATGCTGCGGATCCTATCAACCAAGGAATTTCAGCCTGCAGACTCCAAGAAAAGAGCCTTCTTTGCCATGGCTCCTGCCCTCTGGAATATTCTACCCCATAAGGTGAGGTAGGCTCCCACCCTTCTATCATTTCAAAAGAGCCTCAAGACTTGACTCTGTAAGATGGCTTGGGTACCCAACAGGGGACTTCATACTGGAGGTGGTTGATTAATTAAAACCTAATCCCATCTTCCCACCCTTGTGTGTCCAGCTCCCGCCTTTCCAATCTGGTTTTAATGGTTTATAATTATGAATGATTTTATTTGCTCTTGTGTCCTGTCTGTTTTAAAGTCTTCTTTAATGTTTTATGCTGTAAGCCACCCAGAGTCATTGGATATGAGATGGGCGGCAAATAAATTTTCTAAATAAATATAAATAAATAAAATGGGATGCTGCAAACCAGCATAAATGTGAACTGGTTACCAAGCATCCAAAATTCAATTGCATGACCTTGGGGGTAGGGGGTGGGGGTAACCATCAGAACTCCAGAACTGGGTCTTAAGTAGTTTTAGGGAGATCCATGATAATTTTGAATGGTCGCTAGGTGAAAACTGTTATATCAGAGAAAAATATTCTAGTATTTGCTCAGCACTATCATAAAATCTATACATGGGAAAATTAAAGAGGCTTCAATTAGGAATGTGCATACTTATAATAACGCAATAATACCTTAGTCTATTGTTCCATGCCTCTTTATCATGGAGTCTATATCTTGCTACTGGGCTAGTGTTGCTCAGTGTAGCTTCACATTCCCCTTTTCCTTCAAAGGGAACTCATATTCCTGCACTCTGTAACATTTTCTTAGCTTAGCCCAGAGTTCCCCAACCTTTCTGGCTTGGCCTGGAAGGAAAGGGAGCAGCAGGAAAATTTGTGTGTGCGCAGCCCCGCACGCATATGCGCAAATGGGTGGGTGCACGACAGCAGGGCTAGCGCACGCACATGCACAAGTGGGCCACATGCACCCATGGCACGTGTGCTGGCGCCTGGGAGCCTGTGCAAGTGGGGCATGCGTGCCCAGAGCACACGTGCTAGTGCCCGCAAACATGCGCAAACGGGCCGTGTGCGCCCATGTGACGCTGGCAATGCTAACGTCTTCACGCATGTGCAAATGGGACTGCTACCGCAAGTGGGCCCGCCCCACCAGCTGTTCCCTGGGCCAGTGGCCTACAGGCCGTGGTCCAGTATTAGGCCACCTACCATAAATTGGGGACCCCTGGCTTAGCCTATACCTCAATTTCTTTATGTTGCCAGTAATCCTCAACAATCATTCATTTAGTGGGCCATGTGGCAAACAGGCTGCAGCCCAGTATTAGTCCGCCTACCATAAGTTTCAACCAGTCATAGATCACTATCACAGTTGCAGTCATGTGATATTTGGTTTACAAAATTGTAAAATCAGGCATGACTCACTTAATGACTGCCTCACCATTTGTAATCTTCAGAGTCGGCTTCTAACAAACAAAGTCAGTAGAAGAAATTGGATTTGCTTACTGACTGTGGCAAAAATCAAAAATACAATTTACAAAATTGTAAAATCAGGCATGATTTTAATGACTTAATGACTGTCTCACAATTGTCATAAGTCAAGAACTATCTGCTCTCTTACCAAGTTCTTGAACTTGTTTGAACTAGATTTATTTGAGCCATTGTTGGAGCCCCTAAATATATTAAAATGCCATATTATATTTGAATATCAGTTTGGTTCCTATTCATCAATTTTTCATTAAAATTAATTTTCTTCCCTGTAGGTTGGTTTCTTTTGTCTTTAAGGATTGCTTTAAATCAACATAACTTAAAATTCTTTGGTTTTCTCAGTGGAGAGCCTCTGCTCTTAAGGCTATGGAAATGTTAAAAATGCTGTCATGTAATAGATCTGGGAAATTAATCTTCTAACCAATCTAACCCTAACGTCTACTCTTACAATTTGAGTAATTCAGGGTTTGGGCCAGCCTCCTCTCTGTCATCCATTATAACAATGAAATTTTGTAGAGTGACTGGCACAAAAAGAGTTTATTATGAAGAAAGAACATAGTCTGTATTTATTCATTTATATTTGAAATGTGCCAGATGCAAGTGTTTAGTTTTTTCGTTCAGCATCAATTTCTAATAAAGGAAGATGCATCTGTAGTATTAACTAGCAGGGCACAAAGCTAACAGCTTCTCTAGTTCCTTGTTCTTCAACAACTGTATTTACACATTTGCACATTCTCTAACCTGTACATACAATACTTTGTTGTTAAAAGTATACTGCCTGTATCAGAAATGCTGTCTGCAATGCTAATAAAGTAAATATATATGAGAACTAGATTTATTTTATGAGGCCTAAACTCTGTGGGTGAATAGTTAAGACAAGACTGACACCTTGAGAGCAACATCTCTTAATATGGATATTACAAACTGAGGTGTAATGATATGCTTTGGGGATTTAATAGGATCTAACAGGTTAAAATTCAGTGCAATAATATTTTTAAAACAGTTATAAATATCAAATAATATATAGAAAATCATATTCTTGGAAATGAAGTTGGTGATTAATTTCCATAGAATTAGGAATAGGGTTTCTTAGTAAAAAAAAATACTTTTTTGATCACATTCAAGGCACAAGCAAATGCCCGGGCTGCAGTCCTGAAAGAGCAGTTAGAACGAAAGAGAAAAGACGCATATGAAAGAGAGAGGAAAGCTTGGGAAGAGCATGTAAGAAATGTTAACCTATTGGATGCTTTCTATGTGCTTGCAATTTTTCTTTGAAGCTTTAAACTAAGTATTGTCTTGTAGTGCACTAAGTATGTGTACATAGTACTATGCTACTTAAAACGTAGATATTTTTCTTTTTGGTCACTGGATCTTCTTGGACAGAAAATTGTCTTAGGGAGCATCCTGTCCTTGAGCAAGGCATAACTGAAACAGTGCCTCCTAAGCACTACTGCTTTTTTGTCTTTATTCCTCTCTTGCTTTATTTCATAATCATCTCAATGATTTGCCCTTTAAGCCTCTCTGAGACATATTTCAGGTGCTATTCAGATCATTGAATTGATTGTGTTCAGATGACAGGGTGGAATTGAATAGAGCTGGAAGGGATCTTGGAGGTCCTCTAGTCCAGAGGTTCCCAACCTTTTGGGCACCAGGGACCGGTTCCGTGGAGAGAGGTTTTTCTGCAGACCAGAGGGTGCGTGGTTTTGTCTGCTGCCTGCATCTCGTGGATGGGGCTTTGCTTGTTTGTGTGGCCTGGTTGCTGGCATGCCGCAGCCCGGTACTGGTCCATGGACCAGAGGTTGGGGACCCCTGCTCTAGTCCAGCCCCCCACTCAAGCAGGAGAACCTATACCCTATTTCCTATACCCAAGACCCATAAATGTTTGGTTTAATTTCTGTAATCATCACCTGTCCTCTTCCCAAATACTTGAATGTGCAGAAAATGTAGAGGAAAGGGAAGTTTTTTTGTTTTTCTACTAGATAAAGAGGCATGAAAAAGAAGTTGTTTCTAGGCAACAATAAACTCTTAATTTCTATGTGGTCTAATTACAACAAAATGTTTTACCTTCATAACTCAATTTTCAATAGCAGAGTGATTTTCACTATCACTGTTACCTAATGATAAAAATGAATAGAACTAAAAAATGTAAAAGTATTTTAGTATTTTAATTATAAAAATGAAAATCAGTAATATTTGGAAAAAATATGAAGCTGTTCATTGAAGAAGAAATGAAAATGCTTCTATCTTTATATTTTTGTGTTATAGTTGATTTTTCCTTACTGTAGTATGTGTGTGTATGAATTATAATTACAGCTGGTGTCCAAAGGGATAAAAACTCCAGTGGGAGCTTCAGAATTAAGTCCTACGCATACTAAGCAGGAGGAAAGTTCTCCTACTAGACTAAAGCTCAATTCACCGCAAATCATCACAATGACATCAGCTTTGAAGGAAGTGGGTGTAGTAAGTAATATCATTATTTGCAAATAATAAGATTAGAGTTTTGGATACAAATTGCTGCCACTACCCCACAATGAAATGACAAACATTATCTTTTCCAGTCTCATAGCTATCAATGTATTTGACATATATTTTCAATCTGGATTTGTAGGATGAACATGCAGTACTTGTCCAGGAAGGTTTAGGGGATATTAAACCTGATGTTTCTATACATGTAAGTTTAATTATATGCACTTTGTTTTATTCTTACACTTCAATGTTTTTTTTGTAAATTCACTTTGTTATATAAAATCTCTAATAAAAGATTTGCTTGTATTCCAAACTATTCTTGAATCTAACATTCTTAACATTCTAAATTGTTTTTTTTAATATTCTTTTAATTTCTTTTTACAATCCTCTATTGCTTTTTCTGTAGCAACATTTCATTTAGTTTCCATCTAAAGAACTAGATGTTATTTTATATACCAAATGTACAAGATTATGATATGAAAAAGTATTTCATAATATCACTTCTTTAGAATCATTAGCAGCCAAGTTCTTTGAAATCCAAATCGTGTCTATTTTTTTAAAAGAATCCACGTCTTTCAGAAAAGTAGGTATATTCTCTAACTTGAATTGCCATTTTTCTGTCTTCATATATCAACTAACTCTACATTGTCAAATAAAAAAAGGTAATTTGGCTTGAGCTATTTTAATATTTTTCTCAGAGAGGCTGTCAGTTCTGGGGATATCACTCCATTGCAATCCCCCATCAAACACTAGAAACTTATTTTGTAAATAACTTAAGGAGAGATTAACAATACTTTGTCCTCTTTTGGGCAAGGTTTATTTTTTTTGTAAACATTTTTCTGGTTTTTAGAACAAACGAGAAATACTTCGAAGGCTGAATCAAAATCTTAAAGCACATGAAGATATGAAAGAGAAAAGGGAGCCTGAAGACATCTCTGAAATCCCTGTGGCTGGCGAGAATCATCACCTACAAGTAGTAATATGTCCAGTTACAGCTGATCGCAAGAAATGGGAAACAGGAGCAGAGTTTGTGGTTCCACTAGCACAATTAACAATGGAAGAATCCTTCTCTCGAACAGAAGGTAAATTGCCTTGGTTTTCGAATTGCTTTTGTAATAAGATGTAGATATTTATCCTACCATGTAACATAATGATACTTAACATAGATTGTGTATATTTCACCAGATGTATTATGCAAATTGCAATGCATAATAGATCAGGCGTGTTGCAGTATTCAACTGTGAATCTTCCTACCACTCAAGAAAGGCAAAGACATGATCCAAATTTTTTGCCTTAGTTTAGGGCTCTTTTCATCCTGTTCATTTTTTAAAAACTTTGTACAATTAAGTAAGCATTATTTACATTTTATTTAGACTATTGATGGTTCTATTAACTTAATCTCATAATTATTTTTCTTTACCCTAGTTTCCTATTTTTTTCTAAAGCTCTGTTCTACTTTCACTCATTTTCTAGCTTGCTGTATGGCATTATTAAGAATATAACCTAGTTTTCAAAACAAAAAAGTAAGAACAATAAACACAGTGTGTTGTTAGAGCATCTAGAGAAATCTGTGCATACTCATGAATCATACCATCTGATAGTGATCTATAATTGTAATAAACTTTAAGTAACTACTTAAATCACCTGTTTCCTCACTTGATGTAAGGGTTTGCCTCAACTAGATCTCCCAAGAAAGCAGAACTTTTGAAATGGACATTGTTTCAAAAGGAACTTTTATTGAGAGTTAGTGATAGCAATACAGCAAAGCAAGGTCTGAAGAATTTACGCTCGAAAGGTTACATCATAATGCCCATTCAGAACTCCTCCCCCCAGTGTCCAACCGTCCGTTTGAAATCTGGCCAATCTGTAGGTGCTAGGTTATTTTGAGAACCTAATGATTTAGTGCCTATCTCAAGGTCTCTCTCCCTTTCGTTTCCCAACGGTCCCAGACTCCATTGTCTGGAGATAAGGCAGATATTTTCAGGCCAAGAGCTGATGTAGTTCCCATCTTCAAAAAAGGGGGAAAAAAGGACCCAGGAAATTACAGACCTATCAGCCTGACCTCAATACCTGGGAAGATTCTGGAAAAGATAATCAAACAACGAATCAGCGAACACCTACAGGCAAACAAAGTCATTACTAAAAGCCAACACCGGTTTGTCAAAAACAGATCATGCCAGACAAATCTTATTGCATGCTTTGACCAGGTGACAAAATTAGTGGACCAGAGGAATGCTGTGGATATAATTTACTTGGACTTCAGTAAGGCATTTGACAAAGTAGATCACAACCTACTACTTGATAAGATAGAAAAATGTGGGTTAGACACCATCACCACCAGATGGATCCGTAGCTGGCTGACCGGCCGTACTCAGCGTGTGGCCCTCAATGGAACCACATCTACATGGAGGGAAGTGTGTAGTGGGGTGTCCCAGGGCTCTGTTCTGGGCCCAGTGCTCTTCAACATCTTCATCAACGATCTGGACGAGGGATAGATGGGGAACTCATCAAATTTGCAGACAACACCAAGCTGGCAGGAATAGCCAACACTCCAGAAGACAGGCTTAGGATACAGGACGATCTGGACAGACTTGAACACTGGGCGCTATCTAACAAAATGAAATTCAATGGTGAAAAAAGTAAGGTTCTACATTTAGGCAAGACAAACCAAATGTACAGGTATAGTATAGGGGGTACCTTGCTCAATAGTAGTAACTGCGAGAGGGACCTCAGAGTCCTAGTGGACAATCATTTAAATATGAGCCAGCAGTGTGCTACAGCTGCCAAAAAAGCCAACACAGTGCTAGGCTGCATTAACAGAGGGATAGAATCAAGATCACGTGAAGTATTAATAACACTTTACAGTGCCTTGGTAAGGCCACACTTGGAATACTGCATCAAGTTTTGGTCACCACGATGTAAAAAAGATGTTGAGACTCTAGAAAGAGTACAGAGAAGAGCAACAAAGATGATTAGGGGACTGGAGACTAAAACATATAAAGAACAGTTGCTGGAATTGGGTATGTCTAGTTTAACGAAGAGAAGGACGAGGGGGGATATGATAGCAGTGTTCCAATATCTTAGGGGCTGCCACAAAGAAGAGGGAGTCAGGCTATTCTCCAAAGCGCCTGAAGGCAGGACAAGAAGCAACGGGTGGAAACTAACCAAAGAGAGAAGCAACCTAGAACTAAGGAGAAACTTCCTGACAGTTAGAACAATTAACCAGTGGAACAACCTGCCTCCAGAAGCGGTGAATGNATTATTATTATTATTATTATTATTATTATTATTATTATTATTATTATTATTATGACAGAGCAGAGCCAAACAAATACACCTTCCAAGTCTTTTATTAATTTTCCAATATTACATTTACATATTCAAAAGGTAGCGTGGTGGCTGAGCACAGTAATTCCATTACATTTTAATATCATCAGTACAAATCTCAAAGTATTACAACAACTAATTCCCTCTTTCCCCCATAATATCTACTGTCATATTCGAACCAATACATTTCTTATTCTACCAATCAAACAAAAAATACCTTTCTAGTATTCATCAATAATCTTCAGTCTATACATATCTTACTTAATTTGACATTCCATCTTTTAGACAATAACCTAGTAAGTTTTTCTTAATTTTAATTTCCCATTGATATTTAAGTTTAATGTTTAATCTTTATCATTTCCAGATTTTAAATGAGCCCAATTTCTAAGTCTCCTATCTCATATTTGGGGCTAATAATTTTTTTTCTTTTCTTCCTTCTACTTCCTTCCTTTCTTACTTTCCAGAAAAAGAAAAAAAGAGAAAAAAAATAAAATAAACCACCAGCATTTGTACCACAAACCCATTAATTTAATTATTAGTATTTATACTTCTAAGTTTCACTTAACCTTTGCCTCAATTCATAACAATATCTTAAATTCAACTTAGTTATTTGTAAACATTCAAACGTTTAGCCAATCAGTGACCTGATGATCAATTTTCCCTTAATATTTTAATTTAACGTTTAATATTTATTTTTATCCAAATTTTTAATTAAACACAATTTCTTTATCACAATTCCTCATACAATCTAATATTTAAAATACACCCCTTATATATAAATTCTACCATCTATCTTAACAAACTAATAAAACAGTATAATATTCTTATTTCAATATTTATATTTCTAGATTTTATATGACCAAAATTTTCTTTATCTCAAATCGTTACAATATCTTGTGTTCAGAATACATATTCTATTCGTTTAGGAGGTCGTCTCTTTGTTTTTCCAGTTCGATGCAGTTGTCCCGCAGTATTTATCTTCTCTTTCATCTGTTTTTCTTTTTTATCTTCAAATTCCTTCTGATTTATAAGAAAAGTCCTTTCCTTGCTCTCTATTATCAATTTCTTTTTTGTGTTTTCCGTTGTCTGTATTTGTTGAGTATCTAAGTCTTCTGTCATAGCATTTGGTTGTTTCACTTTCTTTATAGAATTCTGTATAGATGATTCTTTGGTTGGAGTCATAGTTTGAGTTTGCATACCCAGACTTATACATAGAGTTTGGATAATCGTTTTTAACATACAAAGAATTTGTTCCTGTGCTTCCTCTGTAGAAGAAATCCACTCCTGTTCTTCTTCCATTGTAGTATATTAAACTAAAAAAAAAACTTACAGTCAGAAAGTCCACCAAGTGAGGAGCTAAGCAGGGTTTCTTGCAGATGGCGCTTCAAGGTTGCTTTATATCTTATCTATTTTCAAAGCTGTCAACAAGTCTCTCTTAAAGAATAACAGGTTACGTCTCAGAGTTAGTTGGATCTTTTCAGTTCCCCCCCCCCATCTATTTTAAGGGGGAAAAAGCCCAAATCTTCAATAATAATTAGAATAAAAATCAGAGAAAAAAATATAGAGAGTAGAAAGTTACAAATCTTATAATCCACCAATTTTAGGAAATAGAATTCCAATTAGGATCCCAGTATTTTTCCAACGTTTTAAACTCCCGAGTGGTTAGTTGCCGCTGTTTCTGGAGGGAGGGCTAAAATCCCCCTTCCCTCACCACAGGGAGGAAAGTACTTTAGCAGCTTATGCAGCTAATTAAGTGATTAGGATGTAAGAGAGGCAAACCTCATCCAGTCCTGTCCACGCTGCTTTGAAGTTGCCAGATGGTAATGTGACTTCGGATGTTAGCAGCCTAGGGACGAGCCATATTTCTATGGCTGTTCCTTTCGTCCACCGGTTTGGAGGGATCACCAGCTCTAACGGGAGAGTTGCTGCTCTCCCGCGATCCAACGAAAGCCTCTCCTTGCTGGTCGCCTCTTTAGGTGACTTTCGGCCCTTTTCAGGGTCCCCCAGCGATGCGAAACTGAACGGGGGAGAGAGAGCAAATCTCCCAGCCGTCCATGGCAGCCGCGTGACGAACTGGAAGTCAGAACCAGACAAATACATTCCCTAGGCAAACAGCTCCCCTCCCACCAGAATGGCAGATCCCCCAAAAGGAATACACAGGCAAAGCAATAATATGCAGGCAAATACATTGAAGAAGTCTGACATACGCCCCCCTAATAGAATGACAAATCCACCTGCAAAACAAAAATAGGGAAGGAAAGAGAGGAAAAACAAACACATCAATCAGGTTTATCAGGATAGCGTGCATGAAGGCGCTTGAGCAACCTAGAGCAGGGCTTTTCAACCTGTGGTACATTGGCACCTGGCAGGTGGTACGCGACCATCCTAGAAAAGTGGTAGCGGGTGAGGGGAATGAGCTGAACCGGTGGCAGCACCGCACAAGCCTGAGCGAGAGATGGCTGGAGCTGCAGGGCTCTGCGGAAGCACCAGGATCAGTGCCGCTTTCCAGCTGATCAGCGCTTCTTCGGGGCTGTCAGGGCTCAATGGAAGCACCAGGATCAGCGCCAGGCTCCAGCTGGAGCTCAGCGCTGATCCTGGCACTTCTGCTGAGCCCAAAAGAAGCGCCGATCAGCTGGAATGTTGCAGCATCTCCAGGGTCTTGTGATTTACATTCAGATGCTTGGCAACTGATTCATATTTATGATGGTCACAGTGTCCCAGGGTCATGTGAAGTGACCAAAACCTGCTACAACCA